TTTCCAGCAACTTTGTTTTTGTTCCTGATTTACAGCATCCACAGTTCTTTTGGTTTTTATAAGACCAATAAGTTTTAGGCTGACAAAGGCCCTTTGTATGAGATCATTCCTTTGTGCCTGGACTCTGCTCCCCTGCATGCAGCTTTTGGGTGGCTGTAGTGAGGAAGAGACTGTTGTCCAGGTCCTCATCGAATATGCCTTTGTAAAGAACGATTGAGATGCAGTAGTTTTTGTTGAAGCTCATTCTGAGCAGCTCTGTGATGCAGGACACTCAGCTCTGAAGGTTGTTCCCTAGGATGCAAACCAAGACAAACATCTGTGACTTAAAGACTGAGAGACACCATAGTTCTACTCCCTCGTTAGAGTAGTGGTTTAACCTAAAGATCACCACACCTCGGGCGAGGGGAGAAGTTGACAAGGAGAATACTTCGTGGTAACCTCAGCCAGAGTGGGAATTGAACCCACTCTGTTGGCATCACTTTGCATCATAAACCAGCCTTGCAACCAAATGAGCTCCTACTTAAGCCCTAACAACTCAGTATAGGATACTCTGTGATCTACCTTTAAGTAGCCAGTCTTTACTGGCCTTTGAGCCTTACAGGCTGTTTAACTGTTACATTTCAAAGTGTCATATCTTGGTTACTATGTTATTTGTAACAAGCTGAGAACCAATTATTATGCAGATTCATCATTTCTTGCAGCACTGAATTCAGATGCTAAAGTATCAGTTCACTAGCCAAGTGGATGGCAATAAGAAATTCAGTGAATGAAACTCTTGCATTTTGAGTCCAAAATGGTTGATTATTTTGCATTGTGGGAGCCAGAAGAAATAAAATGCTTGGGATCAGGTGTCAGTGGATAAGACTCAAATCATTTGAATGGATGTAATGTTAAATTAGACTAAGGAAAATCATCCCGAATCAGCGCCAAAGAAAAACGGAGTGAATCATGGAAACAAAATGGTTGCCACCACATCTATAGCCCAAAATCGAAAGGGAAGCTGATGATGTCATAGAGGCATTTGGGAAGTTTACACAAAGTGCGGACTAACATTCACCAGATTTCCAAAAGGCAGTACTGTAGAGAAAAAGGCCAGTTACTTCTAGTTGTGGGCAGGATTGAAAGGGTTAAATTTGTTTAAAAGCTCAGGGATGAGTAATAACAACAGTAAAAATTCAGACAAAAGTTACGAAAAACTCAACACACATCTCCAAATTATTAGTTCCACCCAATCTACGTTTCAAAACCTGGGCAGAAACCATGTGAGCCTGTTGCCAATTTTTCAACAAGACTAAAAAATTGTAGCCAGAAAGTGTACATTACAAGAAACATGAAATGCTGA